ATCCATCCATCCATCCATGTATCTATCTGTCTATCTGTCTGTCTGTTTGTCTGTCTGTCTGTCTATCTATCTATCTATCTATCTATCCATCCATCCATCCATCCATCCATCCATCCATCCATCCATCCATCCATCCAACTATGTATCTATCTGTCTAACTGTCTGTCTGTCTGTCTATCTGTCTGTCTATCTGTCTATCTATCTATCTATCCATGCATCCATCCATCCATCCATCCATCCATCCATCCATCCATCCATCTATCTATCTATCTATCTATCTATCCATCCATCCATCTATCTATCTATCTATCTATCTATCTATCTATCTAGCTATCTGTCTGTCTGTCTGTCTGTCTGTCTGTCTGTTTGTCTGTGTTATTATTATTATTATTATTATTATTATTATTATTATTATCATTATTATTATATTATCGTTGTTGTTATTGTTGATGTTGGTCTTTTATTATTATTATTTTAAGACAGGTTAATTACACTAATATACAGGTGGTAACTCCCAATGTTTTCTCCTTCGACAGCCGCATCTTCCAGCATCTCTTGTTGAGCAAAAAATTATTTCAATTAAGCTCGTCTGCACTCAACCTCTCTACTTAATTGTAAAAAAATCCTTTGCAGCTCCACACATTACTCTCTCTCTCTCTCTCTCTCTCTCTCTCTCTAAACAACCTATTTCAATCGTAATCCCTCTTCCATTTTTTCCCTATTTAAACTTATGTAATTCGCCCCCTCCCCCACTAATTACCTCTATTATTCTTAATCCATGGCGTAATTACAACCCCCCCTCCCCTCCCTACCTTACCTCACATTAGCCCACACATTAGGCTGACTGACTTAGCCCCTGTTACTGCATTACCGGAATTGGATTAGTGGGTTTTTTTTATCCAGGATTGTACTGTGGGTATTATCCTCTCCAGTGCTGATTACTTTATGTTCTCTCTCTCTCTCTCTCTCTCTCTCTCTCTCTCTCTCTCTCTCTCTCTCTCTCTCTCTCTCTCTCTCTCTCTCTCGTTTTTTTTACATGAGAGAGAAGGGCTATAGTAATCAACATCGTATATCACCACCGATCATCAATGTAATAACAATGTTAGTAATGATCATCATCATCATCATCATCATCATCATCATCATCATCATCATCATCACCATCATCATCATCTCACTATCATTATCATCATCATCATCATCATCATCATAACTATCATCATCATCACCATCATCATCATCATCATCATCATCATCATCATCATCATCATCACCATCATCATCATCATCTCACTATCATTATCACCTCATCTCTCCTACAGTATCACCTCCATACACTATTATCCACCAACCACCATTAACAGTTTACACTCTCACCTGTAAGTGTCTTGTAAACCTCGAGCTAAACAGTGTAAAACAATCCTCACCTGGAGTTTACCTTAATAGTGGGACCAGGACTAGTAACACAGCCACTGAATGGTAAACCAATGCAAAGTAGGTTAACCCCTTACCTCCTCTCCCTCTCTCCCTCTCCTCC